GGGGGGTGCGCTCAATCTTGACAGACCTTTCATAGTGCCTGCATCTGGGCATTGAGCCTAAAAAAAAAACAAAAACAAACGGGCACTCATTTTTCAGCTGGGCTTTTTCCAGAGAAGCACACCAGTTTGCTGAACTCGGGCCAAAAGTAAATCAGAGATCACGACGGAGTCGTGCGCTCAAAGGTTCATCGATGCAATGTGTAGAAAATTGGGGAAATGTGCATCAGGCGGCAAGGAGCGGGATGGAATCCCCATGGATTGTTGCCGATTGGTTCCAGGGAAGGGACGTGAGACCCTTCGGCACACCCACACAATTCAAAGTGATTGCATTTCAGTGGATGTCAATTCCACACAGATTTTCACGAATTCCCGCGCTGGCCTGGGCTCATATGTGACATGCCACATCTGTTTACATAGAGCAGGTTGGAATAGTGCAAAATTGACCAAATGGACTCCTGTTTTTCCATTTTTGATATTGGAGCGGTTAAATCGATGTCAAATCAACGCACAACCTGAATAACCAAAATTGAATTGATTCCCAACCTAAAAAAACCCCCCAAAAAACGGCAACTCTCCTTTTGACGCAGCGGTGTCACTTTCGGCCGCGTCGCGCCAAACGCGCACCGATGGCACTTTTGACACGCGGGACGGCCAAGACCGCATCTCAGCCTGGCGCGGTAATTCAATTGGCGGCGCTCTGACAAATGACAGCGCTAATCCTCTCCTCAAGAGCGTTAATGCTTCACACGGACCGAGTGGCACTTCCCCAGGCTACAAAGGCAATTATTCCGAGACGCAGGTTGCAAAGGCGTGCGTTCTGTGTCTTTGTTGCGAGATCGATCCTGCGTGAACTTACTTGATCTTCTGAATCCAGATACAGTAGTCGGTGACGTACAGATCGTTGAGTATGTAGGCCGGGTCATTCTGTCTGAAGACTTGGTGAATATCAAGCAGGCATTTGAGGACGCAGGCTCTCCCTAGACGCGGGAACATAACGCAGCATGCAAATGAAAACATTTGTATTCGTTACAAGGCAGCCCAGCTGCTGACAGACACCAGACACATCTCCGGGCTTGTAGCCCGTGTTGTCTACATCAAAGACAAGGGTACAACATCAGAGCAAAATCACATTAAGGCACGTGAGTAATTTAATCCGGACCGTTTGAGAAGGCTTTCTGGTCAAGAATTTGATTATGCCGGGGGGGGACGAAAAAAGCAGGACCGTTCTATTTTTGGTAGTCAGTCTGTCAGCCTAATTGCAGCCTGCGTCGCTGTCAAAAACGTGTTTGATTTTCAAATCACAAAAATAGCAGCAGTCATTGGAGTCATATATGGGGAAAGCAAGGATGGCTTTTTGTTCTGTGTTGCATTTTGCAAACGTCTCAAACAACTCAATTACTGCTAATTCGCATTCGTTTTTTGCAACTGTTTTCCCCAGAAGTGGGCCACTTCTCCAGAAAGGATGAAGTGCAGAAGGACACAAGCATGCCGATTTCCTCTTCATTTTTTTTTTTTCATGACAATTTTTCCTTGAGCGTTGCCATAGTTCAGGACCGATGTCATCGCTTGAACTGTCTCTAAACCAACATGAATAGCATTTTTTTTAAACGCCCCTCCACCCTAAAACGTCGCACACGGAACGATACTCTGGCTGCTGCAGTATTTATGATTCCAACATGTTCTTTGCTTCGGTCCAAAGCTCTCCTTCCCCTTCAATCATGCACATAAACAGCCTCTTGATAGAGCCAACAATCTCCAGAGGGAAAGCGAAAATGCCATTCTCCACCTCTGCAAAGCCAGGCGGCATTGTCCAAGACATTCCAAGCCAGTCAAAATAAACAGTCCACTCGCAGCGCGGAAAACCTTACGCAAACATTTGGTTCTCGTTTAAGCACGGGATCATGCGCGGGGAACTCTGCCCTCAATAAGTCACGACTTGGATCGCGTGAAGCCAAAACACACACTTGCCTCCAAGATTCCCTTTCCTTTTTTTCATACGGAAACTTGTTTATTGACATTCAGAGGAGTAATTGCTCCAAGGAGCAGGTGAATGGCGCGTCCAATATGGACGCATCTGCTAAGTAGGGAAGAAGATTAGACATGATACACACCGGAGATATTTTGGCTGCGTTGTCCACTCGTATGTATGATGTCATGTTAGACCTCAAGGAATCACAGCCAACACACGAAAACACGGGACCGGAGTGGTCACGGTGCTCGTCTTTCACTCTCGTGGGCAAACGGCCACAATTTGGGGGGTTTCCACCCGCAGTTGGATCGCAAGTGAAACCCACTGGTCCCAAAGTCAAGTCCCTGAGGACTGAGCCCCCACCACCGCGGAGGTTTTCGGATAGAGCAGCAATTTCCATATTGAGCGCGCACAACATGCTTTGAGGGTGCTAACACGGACGGTAAGGCGAGGGGAAAAGCGACACCAGCCGCCGTTTCCCCGGCTCTCCTGATCAATTTGCATTCTGACGGGATGAGGCGCAAAAATGTTCATCCGGGGTAAAAAGGCCTTGAATTTGTTGTCATGCACGAGCTTTAAAATCATCGCTCTGTCACAGAGCAGGTCATCTGAGCCTTTAACTTTCTTATATCTTTTCCTTTCTTCCCCCCCCCCCCCCCCCCCCCCCAAAAAAATCCAGCAAAATGGTAGCCAATTAACAAACACCAACTGGTGACACTTTTGTTTTCACAGCAATATGAAATAAACCCACACAAGCAGGCGAAGGCCCGACGCAATGTTGGTAAGAAGAACTCACCTGAGCCGAAGACCGCAGCTGTGTCAGAAACGGCAGCGGACACCATGGAGAAGTGTCGGTAGAGCGGATAGCATAAAACCCTTCTTCCGAATGACACCAGGACCTCCTGCAAGGAGCTGTATGTCTGAGGGGCAGAGGAGAGGACGCTCACAACAGAGACCCCGGCACTAAATCACCTCCCGACGGCGATGGCAGTCCACGTGGGTAAAGCCAGACATCTTGGCAGCGGGGGCTTTTCTCACTTTAACACAAGACTCCTATTGGTGTTCATCGCAGTCTGCGGCGTGCTAATTACTTTGAACAATCCCCTCCATTTATTGAGCAGACAAAATAGGCGCTTCAAACTCCCACCGCTGCTCCACTCGCCTCTTAATTGCTGCTTGTCCTTAAACACGGCATCCGCACTCAGATCGCTCCGGTAATGGTAGCGGCGCCGGGAGATTTGATCTCTTGTGTTCTTCTCCTTCATTGAGGCCTATTAAGGGTGCGCTGTGAGCTGGGACACGAGTGTCATCAGAGATCAGTCTCTCCCTCCGGCTTGTTTTGCACGAGTGTAAATAAGCTCTGCCGCTGCGGGCATCCAACTCAGTCACACCAGCAGTCTACTGAGGACAAGTTTCACGCTGTACACGCGGGGAGGGAGGAGGGAGGCCTGCAAGATAAGGGGTAAAGATAGGCTCATCCTTTTATGATCTCAAGACCAGGGAAAGAAAGGGAAGAACGTGGCCTGGTGTAGGAGAGGAAGGAACCCAAGTGCATGAACAGCACAGAGGTGGCGCTTGGCACAGGAGAATGCGGACTGACTGATGAGCCGGTGGGAGGCTGTTGTTTACTCTGGTGCCGCCACAAAGGAAGAGCTACTACTGCCTTTCACTGTGGTCAGCGGATGAAAACTTGGGGCAAAACGTACCTCCAGCCAACACAGCGTCCCACTGAGTTTTCTGATTGTCCACGGCGACTCCACCTGCATCATAGACACGACATAATCATAAAATAAGACAAAAATGAGAGAGCTGCATGCAGCTACAAAAGGGCCCTTGCAGACACTGGCTCATTGGAATTGGAATTTCGGGGGGAAAAAATTGGATGGACATCAGAATAAAAACTAGTTTGATCAAGTATGAACCTCGACCAAAGGCCAGAGATGAGGCAAAATTTGACTTCCTGTTGAGTCCAGACAGTTCCAGAGACATTTTTTGTACATCTTTGGCTGTCACGTACGCCTTCAACTTTTGGTAGATGTTGCTGAAACGTTCAACCAGGCTCTGTTTGGGTTCAGCGTTTTTTCATGCGTATATTTTGGGAGTTGAGTCTTATTTTGAGCTCGCCACTTGTCTTCTACAAAGGCAAACGCTTTGCTCATCTTGCCTCTGTGCACTCATCTCAAAGGGGGGGACCAAAAGAGGTCTTGACCGAGCGCTCAGTAATCTCTTAAGGCCATGAATGAAATGGAAAAGGGGTCTGAAAGATTTGACTTTGTCATCCAGGGCTACAAGTGCTTCTCGGCAGGAATTGCCTCTTCACACATAAAACGCGGCCACTTACGTTGTGCTCTCCCTGTGTCGAGCGCACTTCATAGCAGTAAGCCAGGATAATGTCCACGAGGCTGAGCCACACCTGGTGCCGCAAAGTCTTGTCGAGGAGGTACGACTGGTTGTTGAATTTTCTCAATTGCTCTTTCTCCTCGCTGCTGAACTGGATAACTGCATGACGAAATACGGAGCCGGCATTAAAATCGCTATCAAATAAAATATGCACAGAATGGTAAACCAATGCCTGCTTTGGGGAATTGTCTTTATGCAATTTAAAGAGTGGGAAAAACAACAACAACAAAAAACGTTGAGGAATAGAAACTGTCACAGCTCCTGCTTTTGCCCCTTCTTTCCCAAAGACGTAAGACGCCCGCGTCGAGGCGACAATCTGAAACATTAATATCTCTGCCTGATTTAAAATTCTGCCAAAAATAATGTCAGTGAACAGATGTTGATGTCCGTACAGATTTCATGAATCACAATTTACCGTTTATACAGTTCCAGCGCTACTCTGACCAACTAAATGCCCTCCTGCTTTGAAACCTTCCACTGCGAGCCTGCCAGGGAAAAAAAATATCGATACAACAGCTTTATGAAACTGCACCAGTCATCCCTAATGTGGCACTGTATGCAGTAGATATAATCACATTACTTCTTTGTCATGCAGATAATACAAACGTGAAAGAAGAATAGCTTCAGCGTTTATTATTTTTTTTTCTCGACATGACAGGTTGTTATTTAGAAATGCATTTGTCCAAGTAGCACGGCCGATTTATCTACACGACTGAAGGAGGTTTGTGTGTACGAGTAAGATGATACAGTCATCGACTCAAAAACAAAGAACAGCGAAAAAAAAAATGCATTCCCCGTGCGTCTGCATGACATGCACACATTGCACTTCCTCTCTGGCTGCAGTGGGAGCTCCGGAGATTCCTGCCGCATTACGTGAGCTCCCCGCAGATGCTACCTGACTCCATCCTCAGCGCGTCTGGCACGGGCAACAAAGAGCTACACTACTTCGCGAGCGACCACATCTGTTTGCACTCTTCCTTCGGCACTAACTTAGGGGAGGGGTGCGAGTCAAGTCAAACATCGCCAGCAGGTCTTCCACGTCGTCGTCGTCACAAAGCCGTCAAAGTAAAATGAGCATTCTGCTAAACCAGACTGTGGCGACAGTGTTCTTCTCGGCGTGAAAACGGCGCAGGCACAAAAATAAATGGAAAACTCTTCTTTGTGAGTGAGTAGACTTACGACTTCATCAAGGGATCAATTAATTATTCTCCCCACTTGACAGATAGCAGGCGCACCTCACTTTTGTGCCGGAACAACCATGAAAAAAAAGTCAATCGAGAGTCCTGAAATATGAACAACACGAGTGATGACTTTGCAGATGCAAACTTGATCATGCGTGGTCCATCCCAAGCTCATCTCATCCTGGCCCCCTGAGCCCCTCGCCTGCAGCGCTCATTTGGTGTGACTTGGAAATAGGCATCAAATGCCCACATGTTGCTTATTTGAACACAAAGGCCGTGTAGAAATGGTCAAAATGTTTTGTTTGCATTTGAAAATAGAGCCTCCTAAACACTGGTTTCCTCATTTTCGGTTTCACATTGCAGCCATGAATTTTCATTTCGCCGCATCTCTTGAAAATATGAGTTGCCATAAATACTTTGGAGGCTCCTTATCTTCAGCCAACGGTCTCGGACTTGGGTCTTAAACTGGACAGTGATTTCATACAAGAAAGGGGGCAAATTGGTGCCGTTAAATCGAGCTCATCTTTGGCAGCTGGCTGAAGTCAGGCCTCTCCTTTCTCAGGAGCACTTTGAAACAGTCACTCATCCCTTCGTTACATCCCCGCTGGATGACTGTAAGGCACTTTTCTGTTTGAAGTCAGCTAATCCTCCATGAAGCGTCTCCAGTTGGTCCAGAATGCTGCCGCTCGCCGCTTGACTGGTAGTCATAAGAGGGAGCACATCACTCCTACTCTGACATCCCTTCATTGGCTCATTTTAGAGTTCTTTTGAAAATCCTATTCGACTCAGCATGAGACTTGATTTGGAGTTTGACTGTTTTTGTGCTTTCTACTGTCTTTGTTATTTATGATTGTTTTATTGTTTATAGGATGATATGTTTTTGCTCCATGTACAGCACTTTGCAAACGGCAGTGGTTGTTTTCAAGGGCTCTAGAAATATAGCTGAGTTGAGTACGTACTTGAAATCTTAACATTAGATTGTGCCGCGGTTACCCTAAATGTGGTCAAAGGTCACAGTTTTGCCAGTGACATCTAAATCTAGCCATAACAAGCTTCAGTAGGTCGTGAAAGGCCAAGCTGTCAGGTCCATTTAGTTGGCGACGGCGTATGAACGCGGGCCTGCAGTGGACAGCTGGGCCCTGTCAGTGTGATGGCCCTGACACCAGAGAAGACAAAAGCTCCGCTTTCGACTTCATTAATACTCGGGTCCGCACCCATCTGTCAGGTGACATGCATAGCACTGAAAAGAGGGCTGAAGCGGACCTAAAAAAGGGAATTGCTATCTTTATACAAAAGTCGTAAGAAAGATATGCATACATTGACAACTGACCAATATCGGACAACACTCGCCCTCGTGCAGAGGTAAAAATAAGTGGCATAGATGCATAAAATGATGTTTATTGTTACACATTTTGGCTTGACGGTGCACTTCCACCTGTCATTCGCCAAAACAAAAACTGGCACTTCAAAAAGCACACCTCTGGCACATTCCCGCAGTGAAAGGAACACATGCTGCTATCACATGTTTAACCACGGCCAGGTTTGGCGCGTACCGGGCTTCGCGCGATATCGCTCCCACTTGACCAAACAGACGCCACGAGCGATCGCACCCGAGTGTGAACGCATTCGAAATATCGTTACGACTGCGTGCGGAGAGAAGGGTCCTGTGACACCACTAAAAGCGCTGCCTCCAGTGAGAATGTTGTCTGTTTAATCTAAATCCTCGCTCGAGCCTGCTAGCGGCCGCGCACTCCATTTAAGCTGTAACTGCGGGCCATGCGCCTCCTTAAATCGTGCCGGTATTAGCAGATGTGGAGAGGAGCTGGATAGCTTGCGGAGGCCTTCGCCAGCCATCGTGCCTGTGGAAAAAGAAACGAAGTCGGGACGCTCCAGCTATCAAAGAGCTCATCTCCGTCTCAGCTCATGAGCAATTGATTTTCTTTCTCGATGGATGGCAAAGGGATAATAAAAGCCACTTTGAACTGTGGAAGGAAGCAGGATACTGAGAATCTGTAATCCCTTTTCGGGTTGTCACAGAAGCATTTCTTGAACGATGCCAGAAGGCATCACCGTGAACCAGTGACTGAGTGAGGTCCAAGTTCGAGCTCTTGTAAAAGGCAAGTGCCATTGCTCCTGAGGTGCCCTGGGGCATTTTAGGCAATGCAGCTTCCTAGCCGGCAAGCCGAGCCTTGACCCGCCTCTTGAGGTGGACCGTAAGAAGACTGACTGATGTGTCCTTTGGGCATTCATGTATTGCATGGGAACAATGTTAGCTCTGTGTTGAAGAGAAACCCCCACCGGTGAAATCCATTGGAGGGTACTACAAAAAAAAGGACGATGTCGGAGGTCATGAACTGGGCTGAAAGAGTTTCAACAACATCGCAGCCATGCCTTCTTATTCATCTGCTACTTTCTGCCACCTTCCGGAAGCCTTCAGATCGAGACAACTTGCTTTCGGCTGTGCGAGGTCAGACTAATATGTTTTGCAAAGACGAGACAAATATGATTTTGGACTCCATGTTGTCATTTGATATGCAATATAATATTTTCACATACAGGATAACGTTTTTAGTATGGGGAGTCCCCCCAAACAACAATGTGTATTGCAGGATTTTAATATAAATAACTACACGCATGCTGACAAAACACGACGTCGGGTGGTGCAGTGTTTACGGAAGTAAATGCGGTACCTCATGTTTGGGCTCATCTCTTTTCACTATTTGTTGACGTCCTACGTTTGACCATCAGTAATTTCTCAAGTGCAGTTCTTAGAAAAAAAACGACAACGGCATTACACAAGAGATTATAAGAGACTCCTCACTTCATACGCAACACAACTCATCAAAAACAAATTTGCTGCTAACCAAAATGCAAACGGCATACCGAGCTGAGGCCTGACTTGCGACATATTTGGGATCAAACGGAATGCACAAGTCCTATTTTTAAAAATTGCAGTACATTGGCATAAACAGGTCAAGACAAACATACCAGGCTCTTCTTCCTGCTCAGGTGAAGGAACAAGTTTTGTCCACCAAGATCTGAATTGCAGCAGTCTCCTGATCTCATCATCTTCAAACAAATCAGCTCTGCAACGATACCAAATAGGTCAGCGGAAAGACACGACATGCTGCAAAGAAGAGACGTTTCCATTTTGGTTTGCGCTAAACCTACAGGTAATGATCGGGGGAAAAGGCCTCTGCCTCTGCCTCCAGCCGTGCTCGTCTCCTCTCCGTTGTTGTTGTGCTGTCTGGATTTTTGACATCTACCACGTCACTGAGTTCTTCCTGTCAGAAAAACAACAACAGCAACAATTAAATGGCATTATGAATTAAAGCTTAATATCAGAAATCGGGAATCGGCTTTGATCCGTGCGACGGCGTTCTTTGCCTGTCTTACCTGTAATCTGCCAAACACTCCGGACCTCTTATTGCCAAAGCCATATTTCTGCAGGGCACTTAGCTCCTCCTCCGATCTCTCCACGTACACTTCCTGCTCCACCTGCCAGTCAGACTCCTCCTCATCTTCCGCATCATCGTTGGCCCCACTTTCATGACAATCTTTTCAAAATCCAAACACCGATGGCAACATAAGTCACAGCTATCTATGCACGAACATGTGCAAATGAGCGCCAACCGCCGATGACGCACTGTTGTGACTTACCTGGGCTGATGTCCTCTAACAGAGGCTTTGCTGAGCGGGACCCTCTGGGAGCGAGGAGACTTGTCAGCATCTGGAGGCCTTCAAAGTGCACTCCAGATGTTTCTTTAGGGATGTGCACAGTGAAAAGTCCTGCAGATGGACAAGACTTTTATTTGTGGTATCAACACGGTGAATCTGAATCTATCTTTACAGATGAGGCGAATTGTCAAAAAGTAAGCCAGTCCATACAACAAATGCATATGACTTAAGGTTTCATTGTTACAAAAAGATCAAAGTTGCTTGTTACAAGTCGACACGACGACATTCATTCCAGGAGATTTTTGAGCAGAAGGATTATTTTGACACCGCATGTCGTCAATAAAACAGGCTAGTATTACATACTAAAACGACCCCCACCCCCTCCCCGTTGTGTTATTACATACCTTTATCAATGTCGAATGTGGCTTTTTCTCTTCCATCTTCCACTACCCTTCCTGGAAGCGTTAACCTAAAAATAAAAATGACACAGATGGTTGACCTGTAATTCTTCTTTTGCTACTGAACCTAAAGGTAATGACATTTTCATTACATTGAAATTGCATTAAACCTCTGCACTCCAAAGCAGCTCTTATATGTTGGAGGAGGCTGATCAACTCACCTCAGAAAGTAGGGTTTGGCATAAAATTTCACATCCGCTCCATCAATGTAGAGGTCGAACTCTGACGTTCTGGTGTACGGGACACGGACCGAGAGGATAAGGTACTCTGGATCCTGGCTCAGGTCAAACGCAGGCGTTATCATTGTGAATATTTTGGTGAAAAGGAAGGATCTGGAGAGCGAGCAAGGACAAGGACGCTTTCAACGCTGGCTGGAGACCTGCTGACTGTAGTGCGCCCCTGTGTGGTTCCCTCTGTTAAAACGTTGTGCTTGTTACATGTCTCCTAAACCTATCGCCAACAAATACCAATCCGATTGGAATGGTATTTGGTTGTATTTACGATAGAATTCAAAGACGTATTCACTGGCATTCATGACTTTTGTTACGCTGATTCGTAAGTAAGGGTTGAGCACATTACGCCCGTAACACCAATACAATTCTGAATCTTGAGCACATGTCAATGATTTATGTGTACATTACACCGAATCGTAGGAAATCCCAAATAAAGGAGAATGAAGTCAGCGCTGTGTCCATAAGTTAAAGTATTTTTATGTGTCTGCTTGGCAAACTAGACGTCGTAGTTTTTTAATGGGAGTTTTGTTTACCCGGACCACGTTGATGCGAGTGCAAGGAATGTGGCCGAAATCACCACAGTTACAACACAAATCTGTGAACATTGTTCCCTTTTCATTCCGCACAATAGCAGTAACCCGTTTTATTGAACTGCCGTTAACATACAATACGGTTAAAGAGTAAAAACGAGATGTATGCACTCACCAGAAACAAGTCTCACTTACACGGAGCGCCCGATAAAGCGGCCATGTTTTACCGTAATGAACCATGTACACGGTCAATAAGATATCATAGTCACTCGTCGGTTTGTTTTAACTGTGTAATTTATTTTTGGCATTCTTTTATTTGCCTGGGACAGGGTCCAGGTCGTGTATTCAACAGCCTTTATTTCTGTTGATATGAAGAGTTTAGAACATTTAGGACATACCCTACTGAATTCCATTTGGAAAATCAGCGAATTTTACTGATATGAGGATACATTTGAATTATTGAGAGTTGTTATCATTCAAAAGGTAATATGTTTCCAATAATTTTTTTCAAAATTCATATTTTTCACACTCTTACTGCCCAAATATATTGACTTTTAGATGCCCCACATAAAATTTCAGGATTTACAACTTGTTAATGATATTTCCCCAGACAAAAGTTGAAGAAAATCTCATTGTTGATGCTTTGAAATAAATGTAGAGTATTTATCTCTTGATTGTTTTAGCTATTTTACGTAATTACAAGTGTGTGAAAAAAATTACCCATCATTTGAAGTGACATTAACAATTGGTGCGGTAGTATTCCATTACTTACGGCAAAGCTGGAGAGACCACGCCCCCGCTGTGAAACCCTCCATAGGCTGTGAGAAAGTGTCCTCTCCGCTCTCCATCATCATCATGAGCAGCAGCGAATTCCAAGAGGAGATACGCAACAAAATGTCAACTCTGGTTACTCTCCCTTGGCCGCAGACAACATGAAAAGAGTCCGATGTGCTCCTTCCCCCCGGATCAAGTCGCTCTCGCCATGCGGATCCACTGCAAAGTAGTTGTGATCGCCCTCTGTTTCGGAGTTTTCCTACTTTTCTACTTTTGGGGAGGCAATGTCGCGGACGGTCGGCTGCTGAAACAAGTTGCGCCGGAGGAGGGCAGGAACTCTTCCACGTCGTCGGTCAAGCGCGATCACAATGTTGGCTCAAAGTTGGCGAGGAAATCTCCCATCGCGGTCAGGATGCGTGAGGAAGATCTCCCCACGGGACGAAAAAACGCAAAAGTGACCAAGCGAGTGGGCAACGTCAATGCAAAGAGGTGAGCGCAGATTTTCTTTCTCCGAGCGATCCTCCCTTCCACGTTTACATGCGAGCGCACGGAATATCATCGACCACTTTCAAATGGAAGGGTTTTGGCACGTTCCGCGAGGACACACACAGTCCACACCGCAAACAATGCCTGATTGCTTCACTGTCGCTAATAATCCCACTGTTGGAATTTAATATCCGACGAGAATGTACAATTAATGAGCGGCGGGGCTGTCATGTTGAAAGGGCACGGTGATGCGTTGGCTATGACCTCGAGGCCTTGCTCAAATCACATTTTGCCTTTCATGACACGTTACTTGCCGTATTGTCAACCTCTTGACAACATCTAATAATATTCATATTATGAGATTAGTGTCCCCCGCCTACTGCCCGAAGGCAGCTGGCGCCCCTTGTGAGAATAAAGCTGATCGGAAAATGGATGGCTGACTGACGGATTACTAGATGAGAGTATTATACATATAATTGACTGTCATTCATATCTTTTAATATTCTTACTTGCTTTGCCGTGTGTTGTTGGCATTGTCAAGAGCCTGTTTGTCCATTTCTCTCGAAAGCATTCTTTGATTACACCTGCACAATCTTGTAAATCTATGAAAGCTGAATTTGGGATGGACGAGCACGGTATTATTTATTATTTTTAGGTATCGGGTTCTCGTGGAGGATGCTGATGCCAGCCACTGATACTCAAGGTAAAAAAAAAACAAATCTGAGTAGGTCCTCCTCAGCAGTAGTTGGTGCTATGCTGCGGCAGTTTGACATCAACGAATCATCACCGGTGTCAGAAAGAAAGATTTTTGTTTGCAATTTTTTTTTGTCATTCTGTTGAATGAAGTTTTATGTATTAAAAGAGGTATCGATCTGTAAAAAAGTGGTATTGAACATCCCCACAGAAAAAAAAAACAAAAAAAAACGCTGTCCGACAGCTTTTAAATGACCTTTTTCAAGGTGTCCATGTCAACAGACATTGAGGAATACTAGCCTGGATGTTAGAGTGCTGTGTTGTCTAGCTTCGTTTGGTTACAGGAAATCGCACTGCATCCGCTTACAATTTGTCCATTTGAGAAGTTCAAGGGCGGCGTCCTTGAATTATACCTCTCATAGCTCACCACCCCCGCCTTCTTACTGTACTGTATCAGCTATAGGCTCCTTAAAAGCCCGCAGACTCTTTTCTTTGCCGTCGGGCAATATGTATTCTCCTCCGAAAGCAGAGACTGCAGGTTGGAGACGCTGCTGCTGAGATAAAAGCTATCAAGGCGTTTCACGGAGAAAGGACCTTTGAGTCCGCCCAGAAGCCACACTCCTCCGTGTGTGCTCACCACTGATAAGGGAAATGGGGTGGAGGAGGTGTCAGTCGGTGCCGTGGAAAAAAAAAACAAAAAAAAAAACAGGTTTGGAAAACACAAAAGAATGACTTCTGTGGTTGAGGGACACACACAGAGCTCCGAGTCAAAGCATTTGAAATCTTTATTGTCTGGCTGAATAAAACGTACACTTCTAAGATAATTATTTTTGGGAGAAGATTTCCCGAAGTGGATAATTTTAGCTCAGCAGGCATACATGGATACATAAGGTGTTGAAGATTCTATTTTCAGTCTTACTCGCACGTGTTTCTCACACGGATTTATGTTTGATCTTTCAAAGTGAGTAGGCCCCGTTTCCTTGCAAAATGCTCAATCGACAAACATTCCTGTTTTCGCAAGTCCGATCATTTCCTCTTGACCCATGCCACGGCTTCCCCTGGCTAAAAATAGCTTAGCGCCACCTCTCCAGCCGTGCTCAATACATTACACGTCTGTACTCATCAATCACACAATCACTCAGTTTATGGAATGGTAGAAGAAGAGCTTGATAAATCCCCGCGCATCATTTTGCCAATGCAAATGCTCGCAATGTGAAGGGATTCCGTCGATTTTTAGAGAGCCGGTCACACGAATCAAGCAGGTATTGTTTTGGTGCAGAAAGTCGTCCGACCGATTAAATTGGCCGATCATGACGCTTCAAACACTGGCCAAAATCATTTACCTTTATATAGTCTGACCCAAGTGTGCCCAACCAGTCGCTCGCATTTGACCGGTAGCCCGCGGACCGGTCCCAAGACGATCGCGAGGGGTGTAGGAGAATGAAGATAAAAAAATGTCTTTAAATACTTGTTATTAATATGATATATTTTTGTGTTAGTGTACACTACACCCTAAGCATCTGGTCAGTTTCACTTTCGCATTTTATTCTTCTCGTTCAAAATTTGTTTCATAGCCAATTGACCGACGGCACTGGCAAAGAATGGCGATCTGGAGCACCAGGAGAAGCATTTTAAAATGGTACACAAATGCGTACACTAGTTTCTGCGCTTAATACACTGGAAAATTGCGTCTCGTGTCTCCGCGTGAGGCTCTACTAAGGTAGGCAGGGATTTCACAAAAAACACAAACTCTTGTATCCACTTTATTTTTCTGTTTCGCTCATGTCAGGGGCCACTGTGGCTGTTGCTCGTCATGGCATGCATGTGCGCCCATGCGGCAACGGGAGGTTGGTCGCTTGAAAAGTAGATCTTCGGTTTACCCCTGCTCGAACCACACGGCAGATGTACACAAGTGACCCCGGTCTCATTACTCAGTACACAGAATTCGAGTCTATAACCTTGTATCCTTGTATACAATCCAATTTTCCAACGGGAGGTTGGTCGCTTGAAAAGTAGATCTTCGATCAAAAAAGGTTTACCCCTGCTCGAACCACACGCCAGATGTACACAAGTGGCCCTGGTCTCATTACTCAGTACACAGAATTCTAGTCCATAACCTTGTATCCTTGTATACAATCCAATTTGTTTGATGAGGTCATTCTGTCGACCTGTCATTCAAAACAAAGTCAATCTTAATTTTTACATGCAATGCGCATAGTTGAACAGCCACCGTGTTCTGGGTTCAGTTTTCACTCGTGTTTCGCTAAGATTGTGGAATTGTGCAAACTGTGGAATGGCTTTGATAAACACTGCGTGAACTCGATGTGGCTGGAAGAAGCTGAAATGGACCTCATGGCCTGGCTATGTCCTCTTAACTGAGTTACACGCAAAGATAAGTTGTTCGGGAAATGGATGAATGGTGTTCTTTTTTTTTTTTTTTTGATGTCGTGGATTAACTTTGAAAACTGTCTTTTAAAGCTTGACTTTCATTTCCACTGTGCCTGGTGTGAAACGTTGTTTTGTGCTGACTTGAGGCAGAGCCCAGTTTTAGGCTTGCTCCGCAGCAGGCATTGAATTCATTCCTTTGGTTCCTCTGCTGTGCTTTTTGACAGCTTCCAGATGTGAGCAACTCCGCCGTGAAACAAACTGTCATGTGTACTTTATTCATGAAACTATTGGAAGAAAATAGCCAGTGATTGTGAGCGTGTGTCTCTGTGTGTATTTGATTGAGTACAGTAAGCGGTTTTATGCATGGATATGCAATTTTTTTTTTTTTTTTTGCTTGACCGAGTGCAACATCTTTTCATAGTTGTTGACAGAAGACAGGACTTCAATCATCTCGGTGGAGAATAGGAGTGTGTTTTGTTCACGCTTGTCAAGGGATCGGCCTTGAAAGGTGCGGAAGACAGATTTCCCAACTTCTTCACGTTAATCCGCAACTGCACTTCATCATTGTGCCTGAGGCACACAGAATGGTCTCAATGCTCGGAGGCTGCAACCTTTTCTCTGATCATCTCATTTTTTGCCTGATGTTTGCTTTTGAGGGAAAAATGATTTGAAAACATGCGAATAAAGAGGATGAAGGCATCAAAGCCCCAGCATGCAAATAAGTTTGTGTTGTAGCGGCTGATGTTTTGTTTCCGACATTGTTTTGATTGAATTGCGGTCGGCGACCTCTGTAGTGCTACAATGAATACTCAATCAGGGATATGGAGCATTTAATAATTGGCACAACGGAAACTTTGTATTTTTCTTTTTTTACTGCTCTTCATAGCCTCACCATTGCAATTTCAGTGAAAATACTCACTTAAACAAACCCCAAATAGTCATATTTCATTCATTTAGCTATGAGCATTCACTGTATAGTGCATGTTAGATCTCTCACTCTGTCGGGTGCTTGGTCCTGCACGACGCAGGATTTGGATAGATATGACACAAATGTTTTCTTTTTCTGTGCGACAGGCACGTTTGATATAGTTCCTCTGTGGGTATTTATATTTTGATGGAGATTTGTTGGAAAATGCAATGAGAGGTGACAGAGAAAAAAGAAAGACGAAAACAAAATGCAGAAAATGACTTGCGAAACAACAAACGATAGCAGTATAAAAACAATATGCGACTACAAAATGGTTACAGAGCAGTCGGATCGGGTTCGATGTTATGTGCACTAGGAAGGTAGTACACCCTAAACACCTGAGCACCAAAAAGAGGACAGTCCGCAAAATGTTACTGTGTCACATCCTTCTTATTTATTTGTGTATTGTTAGCAAAACAGGACGGGCTGTGGGCAGGCGCACCCGCGTCGAGGAATTCATGCACCTGGCTATGGTGGCGTGCGGGAGTCGCCTGGAGGAGACCTTAACGCTCGTCAAATCAGCTGTCCTGTTCAGCCTGAAGAAGATCAAAGTTCATATTTTTGCTGAGGACCTCTTGATCCCGCAGTTTCAAGAAAAGGTACGATGGCTCAGGCACCTGTTCACCGAAATCTCACACACACACACACACACGCACACACACACACACTTGGATATGGCTTTGCAGAGAAGCATAGACAAAAATAGGAAAAAAAAATTTCGCCCTTCAGTCTACAAGCCTTGCGGGTAGCACAGCGAACATTCACCCCGCTCGGTAATATATGACATCAAGTTCAGAGCATTTTTAACAATGCTTTCAGAGGTTCTAATAATGACACATATCCCTTTTATCTCTGCACTTGGGTGCAATCTATCACTGACACCCTGCTGTGCTCCAGCACTGTGCATCATTTCAAAGTCACCTTGCGGGAGGAGCCAGAAAGGATTCTCTTGCTTAATAGTGACAAAGGTTTTGGGACATGCCTCTCTAAAATGGAATCAATGGCTGGTCTGACCCGGTTTCCCCTCCCTACCCTCAAAACAGTTAATCAGCCTCAGTTGTTGTGGACCATTCTGTGCTCTCGGCTTTGTAGGACCAGTCCAGTTTTAGGTCTATTAACGATGCATGGTTTGAAATGTGTTGGTGTGGACACACTTGAGAGCTATGATTTCATCCAACATCACTGACATCTGACCTCATGAATATTTATTTATCAATTTATTTATTTGGGGCGGGGTTGATGAATGGATCAACATTACTGCAGACAGACTCAGCAATCATGTACAAAGTAGAAAATTATCCCATGAGAGTGGCAGCCGTTATTGCTTATTCTGAGGCAGCGTAGCCGAGAAAAAATGTAATAACAATTCGAGGGATGCACAAATACGGTGGACCCCTGCACATCAATATTATTTGTCGATGTATATATTTTTTAACCCCTTGTTTTTCATGGCAAAAGCTTATTGGCAGTATGTCGTGACTTATTCAAGAATTTACACGTGCACACACACACACACACACACACACACAGACAATTCAAAAAGCAGTTTGGTCTCTTCCAGTTTCGCCAGTGGCCTGGATTTATCTCAGCCAAGTTCAAGTACCAGCTGTACCCGATCACCTTCTCAGTGGGGAACGCAGACGAATGGAAGAAGCTCTTCAAGCCCTGTGCCGCTCAGAGACTCTTTCTTCCTGTAAGGCTGCAACACATATTCCTGCTTTTTATTCATCTGGCCATAATGTGATTTAAATCATGATCACTAAATGGTCTTTTGACGTCCCCCCCAAGTTCATCACTTTAATCATTTATTGTGTGCTTATTGATAAGATTGCACCTTGTCTGCAGATTTCATTATTTATTTTTTTCAATTTAAACGAACTGTCTCATGGGTCTGGATTCAGTCATTCCATCAAGTGGGAAACTGTGCAGTGTATTGATTTTCCCTTTCAACTGGTGTTCGTTGAAATTACAACGCCACGGCATCATGAATATATTGCAGACAAATCTATAAGTGTTTTTCTCTTCCTGCAAACGAGTCGATAGACTGTATGGCCGTTTATACACTTAATCAGGAAAGCCTAATCATGAACGTTATGGATTTTTGAAGGATTTATGTAAAACAAATAACCAAATAAATACAAATCACATTCTCAGCCCTTTGAAAGCCAAATGAACCAGAATAAGACCATATGGATAAGGTTTGCTAAAAAACAACAAACAAAAAAAAACATTTTTGAACTGCTGACAAGTTTCTTATCATCATGTCGGCAAGGAATTATGCTCACGTGGCACGAGAACTAAAACTCATCAATGGCACAGGATACGAGGTTAGCTGAGCACTACAGTTGAGTGTAAATGAGAAGGGCTTTGTGTTTTGCTCAAACATTCAATTAATTTAGCAAATTGCTCATTTTTAATAACATAGGACCACACACTTCCAAATGATATATAACAAGAGCAAAATATGTCTTATGTTTTTGTTTATTGAGCTAATAACGTACAGTATCTTTATACATCTGAATGCTGGAATGCTTTTACAAACAACCACTCCTCAAACACAAAGGCTTTGAAGCAAAAAACAAACAAAAAAAAAAACACAAACGGTAATCCCCCCCCCCCCCCCCCGCCAATGGCTCGCTTGCCCCCCAAAAAATCCCATTTAAATATGACACAAAACTGTTGAGCAGCAAACCAACATTAATTGCAAGAATTTATTTGGAGTACATTTTCGGTGTGAATCGTTTTGTTGAGGGCAGTAAAGTCCGTCCCAGCGGCCTTGCTTCTATATCGAGCTGTTTGTCCAATTCAGCCACTGTCTGCGTTTGTTCGTTTCTCTGATGCGGCGCTCTTGAGCGATGTCCGCCATCGAGGGGTGAGCACTGTTATTACAACATAAAACTTCTCAGCTGCAGTACCGGTGAACATTTTGAGTTTCCGAAATTCACCGTGGCCTATGCCTGCTCGACACGGTGGATCATAAATCAGACGAAGAGCGTTGACTTCCTCTTGACCTTAATTCACGCTTGTCAGACAAGGACTCTTCCGCTAGCACAATCTAATAAGATAGGCGCTCACAGCCGTGCTGCGTTGTACTGAGAGCTGTTTGTAATATTTTGGTTTGCTCAATAAGAAGTGCAAAACATTGGCTCATTTATCATTTTCACGGAGATGCCCCTGGAAAGCCGCAGTGAATGTCCATTTATCATCAAATGAGTTGCTTCATCCCTTCGGTCCAGATGAATATGGCTCAGCGACATCTTACGCACTTCGGCTCCCAGGAATGGCTCAGGTCGCCCCATGTGATGCTTATATGTTGGTGGTTCCCCATCATGAATTTTTACTCAGTGTAACTATGCGGCAGGTAATCCTCAAGGACGTGGACTCGTTGCTGTACGTGGACACTGATGTGCTGTTCCTGCGACCCATGGACGATATCTGGAGAATGCTGAAGTCCTTCAACAGCACGCAACTGGCAGCGATGGCTCCGGAGCACGAGGTCCCCAAGATCGGCTGGTACAGCCGCTTTGCGCGTCATCCTTTCTACGGCATCTCGGGGGTCAATTCGGGTGTCATGCTGATGAATCTCACAAGGATTCGCAGCACATTGTTCAAGGTTAGGCTCTTTCTTTGCTCTCGAACACTGAAAGCTTTTTGGCAGTCTGAATGTCATTTTGTTGATTTCGAGTTGGAGGCTCAGAGCCGTTTGAGTGCATCCGGCTGAAGCTTTGTGATTATGCGAGCATCGCGGATGTGTTTTCTCTCAGAACTCAGTTTAACAACACATCAATTTGCTGCTGGAAGCCGGAATGCAAATGTTCCTCCTCCTTTGATGATTTACTTTGTGGCAAAAAAAAAAAAAACCCAGCTTGCGAGTTGTGTGTGAGTCGACTATGTTGACATTTCAGAACAGCATGATTGCCAGTGGCCTTTCCTGGGAGGACCTTTTGCACCCACTTTACCAAAAGTACAAGAACCACATCACGTGGGGAGATCAGGACCTCCTCAACATTATCTTTCACTACAATCCAGGTAGAGTATAATGACAATGACAACTCCCGTAGAGTATAATGATTTTCATTTTGTTTTGTCTTTCCAGAGTGTCTATTGATCTTCCCTTGCCAGTGGAACTACAGGCCTGATCACTGTATGTACGGGAGTAACTGCAAAGGAGCCGAAGAGGACGGTGTGTCCATCCTCCACGGCAACCGTGGAGTTTATCATGATGACAAGCAGCCAGCCTTCAAAGTAGTTTATGATGGAATTCGTGATGTAAGTATCTTTGAGGATCGCCGTTTTACTGTTGGGACCCCAAATGCACCCAAAAGCGCATCACCATGACTGAAGGACCCAAACAGAATCAGTCACACAGTCAGACAAGACCGGCGCTGAATCTTAATACTCAGTCCAGTAACACTCCCTTTGGAAGGGTGATTTGTTTTATTGAAATTACTTTCCAGTTGATGCTATTCAACCTTTTAATGGGAAGTCTTCATCTGCTTAGTTTTATGGCAGCCCCCCCCCGCCCCCCACAAGCCACCCTCCCATTAAATTGTAGAGGTAATTATTGTACTCAGCCTTTTTAAAACATAAAAAAATGTATGTATGTATGTATGTATGTCAGGTGCGCTCACTTTCTGTACTATAATTTTGTTACCCAAGGTCTGTTTTTACTCCGACAGTGTAGAGGCCAACACGTTCTCGCGTGTAATGAGATAATTACATTTCTTTGATCTGAGCTGCTAAACATATACAATATCAATTATCTTTCGCTCACATTCAAAAAAAAAAAAGAAATCTGTTTCTGTGACTGGAGTGTTATTTCCTTCTACCCTGCTGAGATAAGGCACTTCAAGTCTGGCAAGCACATAATTAGTGCCAAGTAGCAATCCAGTCATGCTGATGGAATTTGTAAGTAACATATTTGTGTGTGGTATTTATGAAAAGAAACAGCTTTGCTGATGAAAAGTAACACAGTGTGATGTTGTTGCAGTTCCCCTTTGATGACAACATGTTCCAGTCGCTCTTCTATCCCATCCAAGCCAAATTCCTGGACACGGTCAACACCCTGTGCGGTCGGATCCCACAAGTCTTCCTCAAGCAGATAGAAAAGACCATGAGGAAGGTCTTTGAGGAGAACGTAATCCGACATATCAGGCCACACAACTGACTGTCGGTGCAATGGACTTCCTGTGAATATGACTGAAGGACTGCGGACCGCTATTGCAACAGACCATGTGTCGGGCCAGTCTCTCTTTGAGTGAACTTGCGGCATGTATGAAAGCAATGATATTTCCTAAACCGTTTCCATGAACGGTAATGGTCGAAAGCACCATTGTAATCTTGTCATGTTTGGCCCGCTTGTCAGAGATGTGGTCGAACCGCTTCTGGCAAATGATTATACCATTATCATGGACAACTGTTTGTTTACATGTGGCAAAAAAAAATATTTTTTAATAATTAATCTTGGTGGTTACACCTGACCGTTGGGTACAACGTTGTTTTTCTGCTCATTTAAAAAAAAAAATGAAATTGGAAGGTTTTCCTGCTATGTGGTGAACCCTGGATTATACTGTGAATGGTGTACTAAAACAAATAATTTAAAAGTTAGGCCTGTGGGTTACTTCAACCACTTGACAAATTAAAATGTAGTCAATTCAACAACAAAAAAATGGTTTCCCTGTAGAATCTGGGTGCCCTGAACTGGTTTCCCCACAACCAGGTGGCCCCATGTGAGGGTGACTGGAAAACACAATACTGACAGTTTGTTCTTTGTGTAAATTACACCCCTTAATTTTTTCAAATATTTTGGTTCGCACTACTTTGCAAAGTTTGAATGCTGGAAATGTAAGCAGTGTTTTTTTTTTTTGGTGCATAAGTGACCATTTCAGGACATTCTTGCCTTGACTTTCATCCAAAATGTAGGGAAATTTGAAGTTGTCTCAAAGTGATTTTTAAGGAAAACCAACAATTTCAATCTAGCACAGACAAAAGGCATGAAAAAAACTGCGACAAATCATTGAAGAAAGGGCCGCGGATGAAAGCAGTCAATACATATAAATAAAACAGCACTTTTTGAAAATGTGCAGTGTACTTTCTGTGCTGCCTGGTACCAAATTATCCAAGGCCTGGCAATGGGCTTCACCCCTGTGGTTGGTGACCCTACCCTGAACCCAAAGTATTAAACTACAGCACAAATGGAAACATAGAATTTGAGGTTACATGTAGAATATTGGAATGCACTTTCATGATTGTGTTTCAGCTAAGGACGAACAATAGGTCCAGACAAGATCCGCAACCTGTGATTTTTTTTTGGTTTGTTGGTTTTTTTTTTTCTGTCTGAAATCAGCTGGGATAGGCTTCCGCTCCCCGCAACGCTGAACAGGATAAGCGATGTGGAAATGGATGGCTAGATGCCGTGGCACTCTTTCCAAACGGATCAAAACCAAAAGTGTAAGTGTTTGAAAGAACTGCAGCAAAGGTTACGTCCTATGAATGTTGTCTGTCATGTTTACTGTCAACAAAATGAACTCCTCAGATATGTGTCTTTGAAAGGTTTATCTTTCTTTTATGTGTTGTGCTTTACTGTCGCTGTGGTGTGATGATAGGCTGTACAGTCTATTTAATCATTTCAACTGGAACCTGATCATGGTTGGACAGCACAAATATGTTTTTGAATAAAACAATGCAACGGAATGAGCCTCAATTATGTGATTTATTGGAATGCAAATGAAAGAATGATGACATTAGGTGACGCATGCAGTCGATCAACAGCTATAGAAATATAATGGTGTGCCTATGGTAGCTCGGGTACACGAGCAAGCCTTGTTAAGGAAGCGTGGGTTGCATCAGCAAGGGTGTGCAGTGTATGAATTGTGCCAAACGTGTGACGGTCTGTCTTTGGCTACCCCTGACAGGGAAACACAAGAGTCACTTCCACACTAGTCCCTAGGACACGCTCCATAGTTGTTTTACATTCACACAGCAACGGAGGTCCCTCAAACATTTATGTAATTCAGACTGATGACACTGCAGAAGTCAGCTGAGATAGGCCTTGTGGTGCAGAAAATGGATGGATAGACGGATGAATGGCTGTGTTAAGATGGGACACTCATACACAAATGAAGTTAGTTCATCGAATACAGCAAATTTAAATGTATCTACGGTAGTTAATTTGATGAACTAGCCTCCGTTATGTATTTTATCGATGCGTCGTTGGTTATTTCGTGTATACGAGCATAGCTGCGTTCTTGTTGCTTGGATTTTATTTTCGTGCTGTTGCTGTAATTCACTGAGTGGTTTCCAGGCAGAGTGACCTCACGGCGCCATATTAATGTGCTCCCTCCTCCTTCGCCTGCTCGATGTTAGCTTAGCGGTTAGCACTAGTAGCTCGCTGCCAGTCTGCTTCTCACATCCACCGGACTGACAGACGGCAACGGCGTGATGGAAATTGACTCGCTTCAAGAGGCGCTCAGAGGTTTGTTCAACTGATCGAGGGCAACCCCGTGCTTTGCTCTCCGTGTGCTCGTGTGATGTTCAAAGCGCTGAACGACCACCAAGTGATTGGAGCGCACAGGCTAATGTCGTTGGCTAGCTGCTACTCGTCACTAGCTAACATTTTTTGAAGCTGTTCCACGGAAATGGTTCGCTCTCTGGCGACTACTCGGGAAAGCTCGCTGTCATGTTTTTCTTTTGTTTCATCCGTCAGCGCCAATGTTTTTTTTCGCGGTAATTTAAAACTTGTTCGCTGAAATAAAAGGAAGAAGAAGCCGAGATGAAGTTATTCAACAGTGTTGACGGCTTCTGTCAGACTGGCTACTACTAGTTCGCCGGTTACGCTCGAGCATTTAACTTAAGCTAGTGAGCTAGCTTCAATTTTATGATTCATTGACTTACTACATTCAGTACATAAATACCATTGAAGGAAGCAATTGTAGGTGGACACACAAGCAGTTATGGTCACGTTGTTAAAACGGGAAACTACTGTCGGTATTACGTATGGATGATTACTAATTAGTTAACTATCAACGGCTATTGAAGCTCATTTTCCTCGGGCCGTCTTGTGACGCATTTGTACAATAATAGACTCAATTGTCCCATTTCATCCTCCAGACTTTGAGAAGAAAACGAAAAGGGAGCCATGTCCTATATTGGAGCAGTTTTTATGTCATATCGCCAAGACTGGAGAAACCATGTAAAAAACACTACTATCATCCCTGCAATACAACGTGCTTAATGTACTTTATCACCAGGGTCTAAAGGCATTTTTTTCCATGTTTCCTATAGGGTCCAATGGTCTCAGTTTAAGAACTACTTTCTTTTTAAATTAGAAAAGGTCATGGATGATTTCAGAGCCTCAGCTCCTGAGCAAAGAGGCCCCGCCAATCCCAATGTGGAGTCAATTCCATTTGAAGATATGAAAGAGCGAATCTTGAAGATTGTTGAAGGATATAATGGGTAGGTAGCCTTTTAATTAGGCTTTACACAGTTCTGATGTTTGGGGCTGATCAGCGAGTTCAAATAAACAAGATGGAGCAATGTGGGATTTACGACTTGTCTCTATATCTTTGTGTCCCACAAAGCTAATTCACGCAAATGTAAAACTGTATAATTGTAAACAATAGCTTTAATGGAGTTGCCCTGTCGAAAATTTGCTTGGAGGTGATCGCACTGTTCGTAATCCACCAATGCAGCTTTGGTTCACTTCCCGGAATAGTCTTTTTTGGCAGCGTAATCCTAAACTCAGAAGACCCTGCCCACTGTACATAGTACATCGGTTTTCTCAACATGGATTGATGATTTTAAGATGAACCAGACACAAATACAACAAAAAGAGCACCACGTGTGCTGTGATGAGGTATTTTGTTGCGGTATCTTGTGGTGCACCATTTGTGGTGTCGAACCATGAAAATCCGCCAATTCAAAGGTGGCATAAAGTGTGCCGCAAATGCTGTGCTATTGTACAGGTGGCTTTTGTGACTGAAGAAGTGCACTGGAAGGTTGACTTCGCATTGTCCCACATCCGCTGTTTTCCTTATTTCAGAATTCCCTTCACTATACAACGCTTGTGTGAGTTACTCACAGAACCCAAGAAGAACTACACAGGAACGGATAAATTTCTTCGAGGTGTGGAGAAGGTCAGTGCTAATTGAGTCAAAAAAAGCATGAATTGTTTTTGCGTCTCACCTAATTGACTTTATTTTCGTCTAGAATGTCATGGTTGTGAGCTGTGTTCATCCAATTTCAGAGTAAGAATCATCCTCAAAACGGCTTGTACAAAATGTTGTGAAACCTAACTTTGTTGTGACTTTGGTGGTGCCCGCTTGCTTGCAGAAAAAACGGATGCAGCGCTGTCAGTCGAATGAATGGAGTCATGCTTCCTGGGAACACTTCGTCCTTCACAGAGAGGTTGGGCTTACGTCCAAGTGTGCTTACTGCTGTTTTAACGTCTCATCATCACTTAGTCAGTGGCAGTGTAATTCTGTCCTTTTGGTATTTTTAGAAAAGTGAACGGTCCGGGAACCCCACGGCCACTCCACCGACCAAAGTTATCTCTAGTCAACTCCCTTGCAGCGAATGGCTTGCCTGACAGCACAGAAAACAAACACCTCAAAACAGACCCGGGAAGTGTTCAAGATGTATCGGGAAGGTATGTCAGAATGTCTGCGATACAAACGTCTCTTTCCTCGGTCCGATGGCATCAACCCACAATCCTGTCTCACCTTTTTGTTCTAGCGAGGTTTCGGCTTCGGGAGATAGCCTGGGCAATTCGGTCAAGAATAAACACTCAGACACCGAAGAGGACATGGAATCTGAGCAGCAGGAGGTGAAGAGACTAAAGTTTGGCAAGGATGAAGAGGAGGAGGAGGAAGAGGATGAGGAGGGGGAAGAGGACGAAGACGAAGAGCAGCAAGTGGAAACGTCAAAGCCTTCGAATGCCCCTTGCCTCTCGAAAGAAGCAGAAGCCATGGTCCAAGAGGAAGACGAGAAAGTCACTTTCAAGGAAGCCTCTCGCAGCGCGACAGTTGTGGAAGACCAAGGTTTGTGTTTGATTGATTTTTGACATTGTACTTGATACAATTTGAAGATTGAACAAATTGCACAAAAACTGCAAAGGTCGACCAGCAGATGACCAAGTGAGTTCAGGATTGACAAGTACATGACTTCGCATTGTCCCACTATGTGTTATGTCAGAGCCGACAAGCAGCACTCATGCTGAAGCATGTCCGGACTCGGGCCCGGATGAAGAGTTGGCCGAAAGGGTGGCGCCATGCCTATCGCAGCATGACGTCAGCGACATGGATCAAACGGAGCAGCCGGCATCGGCCTGTATTGCCACAAGCCCGGAGACCAGTGCAGAGAGTGAGGAGAGTCACAGTGACCCGGTCAGCAGCAGCTGTAGTAGCAGCAGCAGTAGCAGCAGCAGCAGCAATAGTAGCAGTTGTAGCATCGACGAGAGTGTAGAAGGGGACCGTGAAGACGTCTCGCCCACTCCATCCAGTAGTACGAATGAGCCACCTACAGAGGGCGCCATGGAAAGCGCCAGCGTGGACATGGGAACCACCGACGAGCCCATGGAGCAGGACTAGACTGAAAGCCCCTCACCCCGCAGTCATGTGACACCACAAACCAGCTTGTCCTTGAATCCAGCTTGACTGTCACTACTGGGAATGAGGATAACTTCACCTCATACACAAACACCTCGTCCGCTTTTGGATGCTCCTCCAAAATGGCTACCTGGCATTGATGTGATCAAACTATTAATTAAGATGAACTTTTTTTTTTTTAAACTGGAATATGTTATTGATCTTATTATTATTTTTTGCTAAAGAGTTGTTTCGGCGGCCTTTTTTCTGTGTTTCGTTGGAACTGTTTGGTGGGCTGCGATGGTCATTTTCTTTTTGATGCCGCTCATTCCATGTTAAGAACGGATTAGTGAACTGCGTCTCTTTGAAGCCACAAGCATCAGACGACAGGAGGAGTCAGTTGACGGCGCTACAGTTGTGCATTGACCTGATCACGATTCCCAATCACTTCTGTCCTGTTTGGCCACCAGGCTGGAGGGATTGTGTTTTTTTTTTTTTAAATTTACTTCTCCATCCTTGTGAAAGGGGATCTCTTCACAGTGCGTGCCATGATTGAAACCTAATTTTCGCTCGATACACTACCAATCTCACAGGATGATACGATCACGATGCTACGTTGCAGAGGGGCATCCTCTGGGAAATGGCACGTGGGTATAGAAAGTCACCATTATTTATATGATCATTTCAATCCTATTGGTTATTTTTGGAATTTGTGTTATGTCTGCCGGTTGTAGTTTCCAAAACCAGCTGTAAGTACAAAGATGACGTCCGCTTTCTTTGTATTGTGATGTCACATTCGTTTCACCGACTGATTTCAGAGCAGTCACTGGTTGCAGTTCTCCATCTTTTTCTGCAGCTGTACTTTTTGATATTTAGGATTTTAAATTTCTGTAAAGTAGATTTTTGTAGATTGTAATACAGTATGTGTTCACTGCCTTTGTGAAACCATATATAATTGTATAATTTCGTTGTACACTCTGGATGCTTTTGATTTCAAATGGGGTATTCAGAAACAGCAATAAATGTTAACATTTTTAGGTATTGGTCCAACTTATTTTCATTGCTTGATGAAGTGAGTATGTATCCACTAATTTACTCACATATGGTATTTTCACAGATAAACACTGTGCAACTAGTCATGACTTTAACTTTTAGATTTCTTTTCTTCCCCCAGAAAGTTCCAGGATTGGTGTCAAAAGATATTTCAATCGTGACGCTTTCGCTAAACACATAAGTAATGAGGAATGACCACTCATAATGGGCATCGCTTACAGTACAGTGGTACCTTGGGACATGAGTTGAATTCATTCTGTGGCCATGCTCATCATTCTCGAACCATGCAAATGATCTTTTTCCATTGAAATGAATTTCATTGCCACTAATCTGGTCCATCCTTCCCTTAGAAAACACCAGAACGTACCAGAACCAAGTGATGATGAGCATGATACCAATGGCATTGAGTCTAGCACTTCAAGACATAAGAGACATACGGTCACTCGTATCTCAAAACATCAGTGGATGTAACTTGCGATATGTTTTGCCTTTCTGGCCGCATTAGGACCGCTGCTAAGTTCTTATCTGATATCAGTTCAGAGAGATGGGAGGTTTGTTTCGCAAAGTCATCTATTCGAAACCCGTATGACCATCTGACTGGTGAGAATTCAAATAGACAGCAGAATGGCCCTTTGTCCAAGCGAAGAATCATTTTCTTTGCCCTCAGCGGAAATAAAAAGCAACTGTCAGAACATAGGGCGCTTGTCTCCGGGGATACCGATAAAAGTCCCACCCCAGGGGTATATTAAAACCAGCTTGACACCAAATGGACTTTTGGACTGAACTTTCATTTGACAGGTAAACCCTTCTTACAAAATCTCCAGTAGACCTTCTTTCATGAGGCCTACCACCGATCTGCTGTCTTTCTCAATAAGCCAACTTCAAAATGGAACCAAGCATCACAAATCATTGTTGTTTTGGTACATACATGTTAAGGCGACATAATCAAAATACCTGTCATCATAACCCAGGTGTTTCCATTTCATTGGCGTGCAAAGAGTTGCTCACAACCGTTCTTTGCGTTTAATCCCTTTGTCATCCGATAGGGGGCGCCGTGTAGTTTCCCCAGCCAGACCAAGAAGCACCACGTGTAATCAGAATGCAAACAGTGCTCGCTCTGCTGGGGAATGTTGTGACATTCACCGTGTCTCCAAATGAGCTTCCTTGAAAAACCTGAAAAAGCACAAACAAGACATCAGGCTCTCTTTCAGTTCCACCCGATTCTGTCCGCAGGATGAACCCGGGCTCCCCTCCGCCCGTGGCACCAAAGCATGCGGCCTGTGAATGAAAGTGAAGTTGACAAACATTTTCTTCACTTGTCCAAATCCCATTCAGCTGTTGGCTCGAGGTTGCAAACGTGTTCATTTTCTTAAAAACCACAGACATCAGTTCTACTCCCACACATGTGAACAAACTCATTGTTAGTTCGCCTCTGGTGGAAGAAAGAAAAACACACAAATGCCACTGAAATAATTTGAAAGTGACACTGGTAGCGATAAATAAATTATTACTGAAAATGAACGAGGGACTGCTTTGTCTTTGTGCCTTTTTTTTTTAAACCGAATGAAACTGACCTTGACAAAAATGATCAAAAGCAATAAAAAAAAAAAAATTAAAGTACTTATAAACAATGGACTACAAAGAGTATTGAGAGGTCTAGAAAACAACAATTGCACATGACAGCAACCAAGGTCCAACAGGAAAGTCGGCGGCTTGGCAGTCCTTAAATACATGGCCGGCTTGATTGGTAAATGCAGAACAAGTGCGCCTGATGGAGGGCACCGCCCTTCACTCCAGCTGGGGCTGAAAACAAAACAGACAGACAGACTTGACACCGTTTGGCTGAAAATGTTGTACTCATGCCAGATACAGACTGGTCATACACTGCAGATATGGGATGATCGAAATGAAATATCGCCAATGGTGAGGGTTTTTTTTGGTTTTTTTTGACAAGTTTGCCACACACAAATGAAGTACAATTATTCATTTTTACGCAACACGGAGCCCCAGCGCTGGGGCCGCACGAGCCCCTCCCCCCACAACCAATCCGTGTAATGGCACTGAAGGGCCTTGTTTCGAACAGCCAGATGCTTTTAGAGGCCATTAGTAGAGATGCGATCTGGTCTTTGCGCCGGGTTGTAAAAAGTCTGAACGTGAGACTAATAAAGGTGCAATTACCCCAACTGAGCGTACATGTGTTGCCATTTTGGAGATATGCTATCCGTGCATCCTGTAGATGAGGAGGTGGGCTCCTTGGACGCTTTAGGAGGATCATGATGGATTGTTTGGCCACACCGGAGAGCACCACAAAGAATTTGGCCAATTTTCACTTTCTTGGCTGTTTTTATTTCACAGCAAAAAATCGTGTATGGATCAAACGTAGCACTAACATGCCTTCATCGACCAGAGTGCTTGATATTATTTTCGGTGGCATTAAAGGAATGCAAACATTTTCCTTCGTCACGGTACGCCGCTTCGCCTCACCTTGGACCGATGTGCAAAAATAATGTTTATCAAGTAGTTTGTGTTCATTAATCATAAAAAAAAAGCAGTGTGCCAAGGCTTTAGCCTTGTAAAAATGTACTGGATTGATGAGGTGGCTTCAATCTCCTTGGTGAAATAGCATCCCAGTCAGCGCTGGCGGATTATCCACCTTCTTATCTGTAAATGGATGAGGCGGCTGCAAAGCAGCCCGTTCTTATGTTGACTTTTAAAGTTGCTATAAATGCTCCAATTCCCCCAAAATAATGCAGGTCGTGTGCAGTTGAGTGGTTCATTACGTTTGGCTTGTCCTGCCAGGGGATCGCCACTGCGCGACATCCTTTTCCGAATTCTAAACCTCATGCATCACCATCTCCAACATCAGCTGCCCCTCACGTCTCCATTTTCTTTTTTCACCACTGAAATTGGCTCCCCCTCTAGCTCAGGTGCTCGAAACTGGTACTGAAACTGGCCCCAATTATTTGTTGGGCCAACCTCTGGCACCAACTACGTCAGGGGCCAGTGGGCGCGGTTATCATGACGATCGCAGATGTCGCGAAAGGATTCCCTGCCCAGATAGAATGCGATCGCCGACTCCCAGCCCGGTCTCGTGATCGTCTCCAATGATCAAGAAAGATCGAAGCGTTTGCTGATTGCATGTCCCTGACTGCATACAAGTATAATCAATGCTATGCTAAGATGCCTAGCAGATGCTAACAGTGCATTATTATTATTATTATTAATATCGCAGGTGCAGATGGTTAAACGCCGACGTCAGCAGTGACGTTCGGATGCTTTATGATGACGTCTTGACGTGGCTCCTACTTGGCGCTTTGGAAAACCAAACACGTTCTTCTTAAGAACTTGCTAAGCACCCACGAAGCACAGCACTGGCTCTGGCGCCGAACAAGCACCAAGTTTTTTTTTTTGGATGGAAAAGCCGTATTGAGAAGCTGTTGCCAAATTGCTAAGTTTTTCCTTCAGGTTCCACTTAGGTGCTACGACTACCAACCCGCGAAAACGCCACTAAACGACTCTTATTTTGTGACGGTTCGTAACACAGGGTTCACTCTGCCAAATTCAGCACAGGCCGGTCCTTCCATACATTTTGTCAGCGCTTCGTGGTGTGTTCTATTCTCGTTCTGACCAAGTACACTCAACAATTCTAACAAACAATCCCAACCAAGTGTGCTCGTCATATATAAAACAATAATTTATTTCTGTCATTTTACAGGATGTCAAATGTTTGATTTACGAAGGAAGCTGTTATTGACTTTAGTACATGAAGGTCTAAGAAAGCAAAAGTGACTATAAGGTGTGCTTAGACAGCAAAATACAATAATATATGAAATGCCTTTTTCTAAACACAGGCACTTAAACGGTATTTTGATCTCGACGCGGTGTAACAGACGCCGCTGATGGTCATAACTTTGGGGAATCAGCACCATGATAAGGAAATTACATTGAAAACATTTCCCGCCAACATTTATTTACAAAAGACCTTTTTGAAAAGGATGACGTTTTATACTTTGCAGGAAAAACAAACAAACAAACAAACACGTGTTTCCGTAAAAGAAGAGTATGCAAAGCAGAAGAATACTGATAAAAGATATGCAGTTAAGAACAAAATATCGTAAAATTATGTTGTGTAATGGCTGGCTGCTTATGCATGGCACATTTCATACCTCCAACTAAAAAGTATGCTTCCAAGATTATTCAAAAGAGCAAGCACAAAGGCAAAAAACCCCCCAAAACTGTCTTAATTTGGTTCGAGTTTGGTAGAGTCCAAGGCCACAGACAAATCCAGTCCAATCGAGCAGTCATCGAAGCAATCCCGCGGAAACTCTCCATCAAAGTCTTTTCTCCTATTTACAACAATTTGCCACATTGAACGAAGCAGAAATGTCGACCCCCCCAACTGCCCGAGTCCTATTTACAGCTCCTCCCATCGCTCCTCCTTGGTCGAAGCGAGAGCAACACTTAGACCGTGGTCACAGACAAGAGTGAGGTGTAAACTTTGGTGCCATCCGGTGACTTGGTCCCGTGGGTCAGCAGTTCCTGGATGGTCATCCAGTTGTCGAATATTTTCTTATTTCTCTTTTTCATCATCTTTTTGTTGCTGAGTTCGATGATGTTGGGCTCCTTTTTGTCCTCCGGGCTGAGCTGCTCCTTCAGGCAATCGGCCCGGCTCTGCTTCATGAACTCACGCCGTTGCCTCTGCTCCTTGGAACGGACGGCGTGCTGCTTCCTCTCTTCCTTGCTCCAGTAGCGGCCCATCTTCAGCTCGCTGATGGCGTCGTCGTCGGTGGTCATACCGCAGCGCTCCTCGTGGATGCGCAGGGCGCGCTCCCGCAGCAGCTTGTCCCGAATGGGCCGCTTGGTAATGTAGCGGGTGCCGTCGCTGCGTACCTTGACCTTCCACTCCATCTTTTGGCCCAGCTCACTCGCGTCCCGACACATACTGACCAGGCTCATCTGACTTTGGGCGTACTCCACGGCGGATTTCTGCTGGATCAGCTGCATGTAGCTCTGGTAGTGCTGGGCGTGGGCGGGGATGTGCGCGTGCTTGTACGGCGAGCGTGGCTGAGCAAAGCCCCTGGCGGGTTTGCCGGACTCTCCCGGTTTCCTCTCCTTGCTTTCCGCCTGCGGGCAATCCGACTCCTTTGAAAGCGCCTTGCCCCTGCTGGGGCCGCAAGCCTCTTGGAGAGGGCACGGGAGAGATTTCGGCAACCCTCCGCCGGAGCCCGACGGCCCGGCTTGGTGCTCTGGCCCACGTCGGAGGGAGTTGTCCGGGGACAGCTCCAACGTAAGAGGGGTGCTGCGGCAGCTCTCGCCGGTATTGTAGGCGCTGGAGCTGTCTTTGTCAGATTTCTCCGGCATCTCTGTAATGTCTGACAGCTCGTGGCGACGTGCGTCGATGCTGGTGTTGTAGTTGCGGAAGCCGCTGTTGTGGAGCATCCAGGATTCACGACACTGCTCCCGGAGCTGCTGCATCTTGTGGGCGCGCACGATATTCAGGCACTCCAGCTCGATGTTGCGCAGCTCCTCATTGAGCAGCTCCAGCTCTTTGTCCACGACCTCCTGGTCTTGGCCTTCGGCCCCGCCACCTTGGCTACACAAGCCCTGCAGTCCCCCGTTCCTCATTTGGCACTTCAGCTCCAGGAGTTCTCGGAAGCGCTCGCATTCGTCCGCGGGGATACCGAGAAAGTCGGCGTCGGCGTAGTCCGCAGAGATGAAGGATTCGCCGCTGAAAGGCAGGTCCGTACTGCCCAGGGTGTCTTGGCTGTAGGTCAGTTTTCTGCAGCTGCTCAGTGTGTTCGATGCTGTCGTGTGGTCATCTGCGATGTTCTCCTGTTCTGAACTCTCATCGTTCCGTGTGCTCTCGTCGGTGCGGCCGACCCCGCTGTCCTTTTCGTGGTGATTGGAGAGTAGCGTCGCCGTGTCAGTGGTCACTCCATCTTCCTCATGCTTCTTCTGGAAAAAAAAACAAAAAAAAAACAGGACCACACATAAGGCTCATGAATACTTTGGCACGAAGTGCAGAACTGAAATAACTTGTTGCATGCTGGATGTCGGAACTCCACACTTTTTAAATGTTGATGACGACAAGAAAACTTTTATTTGGATTTCAAGACAAGCTCCATGTGCTCGGTTTCCCTTTTTCAATCACGGATCGACCCCGCAACGAAAACATCATGACTTGTCAAAATCGAAACGTGTTCTTGGCACATGTTGGGACCAAAGTCAAGCATTGTACAGCTGCTCATACCGCACGTGCTATTGCTGATTCATAAATTTTCTTTCACATCTTCACACCGACTCTGTGCGCGTCTGTAAATGCGTGTACGGGAGAAGTACCTGCTGCAGCATGCTGGCAGTGAATTGCATCGCCTGACGGTGCTGCTGCTCCAGCATGTCCATGTGAAGGTCATCGAGGAAGTCGTTCCTGTCGTCATCCATCCAGCCCTCGTCCAGCTGAGTCACAGGAGGGAGAAGGTTTGCTTGACGAGATGCAAATATTTGCGATTTGCTTTCGAAAATGACTACGTTGTCGTCGTGCGGAAAAAGCTACTTTATCCTTGACCGAGTGGGCCTCCGTAACGATCCTTCTCACCTGCATTTGTGGCCTGGCAACCAGCAGAGAGATATTCTGGTTCCCTTCACTGGTCAGCAGCACAACCGCAACTTCACGGTTTTGGATCTC